TAATGTCATTTGTAGCACCATTTGGCAATGACACTTAACTTCTATAAAACATGTTAAAAAACTTTTGCGAATCATTTCTTGCTGACTATATGTTATTATATTATAATGCAATACAGCAACAACATGATGTTATAATGTAGTAAAAAGGTCTTGGTATGAATCTGTATTTGAGTTTATTGCATAACAAGCTCTATCCCGCTGACAAGGACACTGATGAATGCTTCGTTATTGGTTTCACTGGAAAGCTCAACATGCCTGAAAGTTGACTAACGCACACAAACAATTACTTACCCAGACCATTTCTGATCAATGACAGTAAAATGAAGTCTCTGGTTTATGCTACCTGTATACATAATCAAAAACCATTTTCAAAATGCAGAGTTTTACATCTTGCAGATGTTGAAGCTGCTTTAAATATATTTTTAGTAATATTACGGTGGCCATCTCAGAGTTATTCCATTGAAGAATCTTGTAAATGGATAAAAATAACCAGAGAGAAGATTTAAAAGATGGCAAAAATTCCTAGAAGTAATCAGAAGTGAGGAAAGTACATCTAACATAAAACTGATTAAAAAAACAAATTCAAGGGAATTACACTAAGCAGCAGCATAAACATTTAATGGTACAGCTTAAAATGTTCACATTTTTATAAATCATCCAAGGATTGCTCTTCATTTTATTTGTAATGAAATGAAATCTGAAACAAGTTTCTACAGCCAGAATAAACACGGATAGATGTGGGGCACACCCTCAGTCCTCCCACCGTGCCAGAGGCTCTGGAGGTGAGGTAATGCCAGCCCTGACATTTCTCCTGCCTCCCCAACAACCTGACCCGATGTTGTCTCTGGAACACATCTGAGAGTCACTTTCAGGCTACATCTGCACAAGGAAATTTTCTGAAGATTGTTCTTCTGACCTAAGGCCCTCTGTCAGAGCAGTGTTTCTGTAAGGCCAAAATTCTCATTATCAGCTCTCTCATTCTTCAGCATAGGATGGGTGCCTGGACTAGTCAAAGAACCAGGAATGGTGCTTGACCCATACCACAATCTGAACTGGATCAGGGCATTTTTAGGAGAATGCTAACTGGTGAGAAGTAAGCTAACAGATCCATGTGCTAACCCTGACCAGTGCAGACATACGTTTTGTATCCTACAATGATCAGGGAACACAGGGATCATCAAACAAAATTGTATGGCCCAACATTTTCCCTGGGTCAGCTACATAGATTACATAAATGAATCTTCATTAAACTTCCATGAAACATGATGGAAAGATATATTGCAGGAAGCAGAGTGGCTGTCTCCAAGGAAAGAAAAAAAGATCCTGGTGAAATGGCAGGATACAAATTAAGATTATCAAACGCACCTCATTCCGCATGCACAGGCAGCTGAAACAATGCAGATTTTTCTTTGCACTTAGCCAGCTTCCTTTGAAGCAAGATTTAGAGACAAAACTTGCACTAATTTCAGTGAGGCCTTTGTCTGTGTACGGTGTGCAGAACAGAGCCCTCTCCTGGTAAGCACTGAAGATAATTGAGGACATCCCTGGCACCGTATTTGGCACTGTCTGCAGCACATATCTCTGCGATGAAGTATTGAATGTAGGCACTCAAAATAAAATATTAGAAAAGCTCAGCTATTTGGAGCCATGGAACCTTATGATTGAGGTCAGATTTGTTTGGATTAAAAAATATATGAAAATCTAAGTAACACTGAAATGATGGCATAATTGAAAACTGAAACCAAAAAATAGGTTATATAACATACTTAAAGGCACAGTTGGCATTTCAAGATCACAATGACTAGCCAGTTATAACCTGTTTTTGAACCCACAGCTGAACCCTGCATGTCAAATTACTGAAAAGGGTGGGTCACCTTCTTTTTAGACCTGAAATCTGATAACCAGGTCAAAAGAACCCCCATTCATTCTTTCTTTTTATGACTATAAAGCCATGAAGTACCAATAATAACCTTAAGTATATAGATCAACACTCTTTGCCTAATTAACATGCTTTTGGATTTCATACTTGAACCTGAAAACAAGAAACCATATTTCAAAGCCCTACTTTTGCAAAACAAAATTTGCAACAGGTACCTTATCTGATGCAGGACATGGTAGGCACTTGAATAAATCATAATAATGATCCATTGCCAAAATAGTGTCTCTCTGTCATTAGCTTTTCTCAGAGTATCTTTACTATAATGCCTTTGCATAAAGAGCAACAGAACCTTGTCACTGAGATAAAATGCAAAAGAATATTGGTTTAATTTTAAAATTATTTATTAATATTCCAAACTCCATATTTCTTTTAGCACCATATGCAAACATGATTCTCTGAAGTCACACTACTTATAGCTGTAACCTCACTAGATTTCACAAGGTAAGTAGGGTTGGGTCTGTAGTATTTGCATGGAAGACTTCCAAGGAAATTCCAGGTTACTCTATGAAATGGTATTTGTGCAGTGTGGTATACTTCTGCTGATGCAGTACTGAACCAGCAGAAAGAATATGATCACAAGTGCTGTCTTTAATTAAGAGGTAAAACCAAGGATACTGAGCACTTGTGGACATTAAACACCCTGTGGGAGTTTTTGCCAGTGTAGGAGTGCCCAGCCAAATACCAGTCTAGATAATAACATCCTGCCTACTTGCATTCCCATGTTGCTTTAAATGGATAAGGCATTATTCTTCTATCGTGGTGTAAAAGTGGATCCTGCAGTTTGTTAGTGCAGTTAGTGGAGTCCTTTGTTAGGACTATTTCAAGCACGACCTTCTCAATGGTCATACAAAATCATTTATGTGAACCCATGCGCTTTATTGCATTTTGGATTTGCCGCCTTCTGAAATCACTTCCACTGAGCTCATGGGAATTTACTTCATCCTAAAGGCATAGATTTAACAGAAATCACTGTTTAATTACTGCCTGTGAGTCATACTTGCAATAAATCTCTGCAAAAAAAAAAAAAGTCTGATTATCAGATCAGTTTCTGTAGGAATCCCTTCAGTACATGCGACACTCAGTTTCGGTGTGACCCTGCCTGCTCTCACCAAAACCAGCAGCAAAAGTGCAGCATATTTCAACAGCATCAAGACCAGGATCCTTACTGGGAGATTTGCCTTGGGACCATACCATGTACCAGCAGTGCAGGCCTCCCACACCTCCTCAATTTGAAGCAAGTTACATTGAACAAAGATATAGATAATCTTTTCAAGTCAACTATACATTTTAAGAGAGAGAACAGCAAATGGTTAAGAGCTTGCTTTAGAGTGATAGGTCCAACAAAACAACCAAAGTTACTACAGGACTGTTCCCCACAACAGGAATTCACTTCATTGAAGTGGAAGGAAACCAGACTTCACAAAACCTTCATTACCATGTTTGAGTACCTCACAACAGACCACCGAGCTGCCACTCACCCAAGTCCCCTGGAAAGGAAGGAGTTGTTAGCATGTTTCCCCAGAGAAGGAGCCTGTTAGCAAGATGGGTGCTGGCATTGGTCACAACTTAGTCTATGGCAGGGTTGTCAATCATAATTATTCCAACAAAACTGAGTTTTCTCCCCTTCCAGTTACGCTCTAAACTCTTATTTTCAAAATTAATTTCCTATTTCTGGCTTGTCCTACACTATGTCAATTTGAAGGCTGGCTTTTGGACGCTCTTTTAGTTTAAAAGTTTTTCTAGCTGTATTTGTGTAGGTCAAAAGAGTTTTCCAAGTCTGTTCTCTTTCTGAGTGGCGAGTCTCCCAGGATAGCAAATACAAGGTTTTTATAGACTTGTTTTCATGAAGCCATCTGAAATCTGAAATTATTTAGGAGAAAGACTACCATGTTTGTAGAATTCATTGAATGCAATTTATGAAATTCAAAGGCTTGAGTAAAGTTAAGTAGCTTTAAATAGTATCACCAAATGCAAATTGAGAAAACAGAAGGCAGGTAGAAAATAATTTTCACAAATTGATACTTTTTTACCCCTCATTTCATGTGACTTGCTGACCTCAAAAGCTTATAACATTCATGACTTATGAAGCCCAAGACTTTTCTCTCATATCTCTCTCCAAATATAGGGCCTAAATGTTGCCTCCTCTTTTAAATCTTTTACTTAGACCCTTTGGATAGTGAAGTTAACTTGAGAGAGAAGGAGGGTGATGCAACTGGTTGAACCAGAGCCACTCAATCCACTCAGTGAAACTAGTCAGAAGATAATACAAGCTGAAGGGTAAGAGTATGAAATGTGACTAAGCAATTAGGGATTTTCTTCCACTTCCCCACACAATGGAGCAAAGAGGACCAAATGAAGCTGCTGAATTTCTTGCAGAGTGTTCAGTTTAAGAGCAGGAAAGGACTTTGCCTTCATCCATACTGGTCAGCTTGAGAGAAAGGAGAAAAATGTATCCTATAAAAGGGTATGGCAACCAGTCCTGTCGCGTAGTACTTGATCATACTTGATCATTCAAACTCAGGATTACTTTAGTGTTGGTTTCTTCTAGAAATAAACAAAGGGAAAAAATGAAGTACAGACTTCATTACCTGTACTCTGGCAGATTGGCATTAATCAATCCTACCCTTCAGGGCCCCCTTCTTTGCTCCCATCACTACTAACTGCAGATGTCAGGGAGTGGCAAAGGCAAAAGGTGCAGGCCCCGGGCTGCGATGCCGAGGGCCGCGGGAGGGACACTGGAGCTGACTGGCGGCCGGGTGAGCCGGCGGTCCGTGCCCGCCGCGGTGTTCCGAGCCCGGGGCAGGGCAGTGCCGGCCAGCTGAGCGGGGCAGCGGCGGGTGGGCAGCGGGGCTGCCGTGCCGAGAGGGGCCGGCACAGGGAGCAGCCCTGCGGCAGCTCCCAGCACAAGTGCGGAGCGGCGCCCCGGGGCTGCGCTGGCTCCCGGCTCCTCGCCCCTTACCTCCGCTCTCGCGGGACGGCCTTTTTGGGCGGGAGGGCGGGAGCGGGTTACCTTTCCTTAGGGAAGTCCCGTCCCTTGACGGGGAGACTTTTTACGTTCCGGTGCGTGAGAGGCAACTAGTTGCATTCACTGAAGAGCGAGGAGTGTTTGGTTTCTCCCGCACCAGCCTCCTCCTCCATCTACCCCCCCACCCCCGCCCCGAATTTCTCCTCCCGTTTTGCTCCGCGTTGATCTTTATTTGTGTGTGGAGAAAGGGGTGGGGGGGACGACTTGTAGGGGGGATGTTCTGTTTTGGCCAGAGGAACAGTGCAAAAGGGGAGCCTCGGCTCGGAGAAGGTACGAGAATAAATAAATAAGGAGCGGCCTTAAAATAAAGGTAGCGGCATATCCCGGCAGCGAGAAGGTGAGTGTCTCTGACTTCCTCGTCCTTGCATCTCCCTCCCACCCCTTCTGCTCGGAGGTGGAGGAAACGGGTTCCCTGTCGCATGTGTCCGTGGAGGAGGTGTGTGCGTCTGCTTGTATTTAGCGTTTATTTAGCACTGTTTTCATGTCGGTTCGATGACAGCAACAACAACAACAAAAACAAAATTGCTGTAAAACAAATGTGAAACAAATGTGATGGGAGAGAGCAGCGGAGCCGTCCATCGCGGGACAAAGGCTAGCTTTTACCCCGGCCCCACGCTAGTTTAATTGCAAAAACCCAAACTGTTTTTCCGTGCGGACGGGCGACTTTTTCCACGCCCAGCCGGACTTTCTGCCTCTGTCCAGGTGATACTCCCTGCTGTTTTGCCCTCACCGCTCTTTGGCTGGGTGTTACCGGGGCTACTGGGGTAAGCCCCAAGACAGGAGCAAGCCGCGACGGCTGCTGTCGCATTGTTCCCCACTTGCGCCTCCCGCTCACTCCCGGTGCGGCGGAAACGGGGGGCCCGGGCTGCGCCCCGCGAGCAGCCGGGGGCTGCCGGCCCGCCTGGGATGGGCGACGGGGCTCAGCCGGCCGCCAGGTCGCTCTGCCGACCGCCTGCCCTTGCGAGGGCCGGCGGAGGAGCCAGCGGCGGCTTGACCGGAGGCTGTGAGGAAGCCACGTTTCTGGTGGCGGGGTCCCCTCCGGACAGAGCGGCATGAAAACACGTAGGGATGGCAGTCCCTTCCCGAAAACCCCGCTCCTCCAGAGAGGGTGCGGGCAGCGCGGGGTCGAGGCAGCCCGGCCGGGACGCGGGGGCACGGGCGGCTGCGGCAGAAGAGTCGCTCGGTCCCGCCGCCCTCCCTCGGCCCCGCGCTGCCCCGGCACCGACAGCGCTCGGGGGTCTCCGCTGCCCGCCTGCCCCGGGGCGGAGCGCTGCGGGCGTGCCCCGCTCGGGGTGCCGGCGGACGGGGCAGGCTGCCTCCCGCTGCCTCCTGGCCGGCAGCCGCTGCGGAGGCTCCGGCGGCCACTTTTTCCAGTGTCCAAAGGGATCGGGGACAGAGCTGCCCGTTGTTTTTGTTCCTCTCCGTTTCCTCTCCCTGAGGGATGTCTCTTGCCCTTCCCCTCCCCCTCCCCGGCTTGTTTTTCTTGTGGTTTAAAGACAAAACGTTGCATTTTCGGGTTGTCCCACCGCGCCCCCGCCCCCGCAGCGGTCTCCGCCGCCGGCGGACGGGGCATGGGGAAGCCCCGGGCGCGGGGGTCCCGCCGCCTTTTCCACTGGCGATGCGGGGACTTGTGTTTTGGTTAGAAAGCGTTTCCACGTGGGTAAGCCTTGCGTGTGCATGTGTGTTTGCGCGGGTGTGTGCGCGTACTTGATCCGCGAGGAGGTAACAGGATTCTCCGTGTTCAAAACCGGAGAGCTCTTAGCCGGTAATCTCCTTCTCCTGCTGTCATTACAGACACTTCCAAAGTCAGATACCCGCGGAGAACCGCCGGCTGCGTTTCACACGGCGGTTCTCCCCGAGCCGCGGGGGCTCCGCGCCGTGCCCGGCCGGACACGGGGCTGTCCGGGGAGCAGCCCCGCGGCGCCTTCCGCCGGGAAGGGAGAGAGGGATCCCACGGCATCGCCGCTGCCAATCGGTAGTTGGCATCTAAAGTTTCATTTACATTTATGAAACTGCCGCCCCGAGCCAAGCGGGCGCGGTGCTGCGGCCCCGTAGCCGCGGGCAGGGCTCGCAGCCGAGCACACGGAGGGACGCGCTCGGCTCGCGCGTGGCGCTGTGAAATAGCCGGTATTTACAAAAACCCCGGGACGCACGCTGTACCAGACAAGGGAGCGACTTGGCCGGTTCCAGTTTAAGTATGAAGTCATGCTAGAACAGTAAGGAACCGGTATTTACAGTTTTCTGAGTTTTGTTTTACGTGTTTCATTTGCGGAGGCTAGAAAGCGTATCTAAGATAAACTAATCAGCAGTTTAGATTTAGAGAGAGTTATAGAAAGAAGGCGTCTTTTCTGTTTGGTAAATAGGTCTCCTGGTCTGACCTCGGAGTTTGATGTTAGAAGCATGTACTTTGCAATAAAGCTCAGGCCTTATCTTTGTTTCATTTCCCTAACACTCAAAAGAAGTTTTGCAAAATTGCTGTGGGTTTGACTCTTCCCCTGGTATTTCCGAAAATGCTGTCAAATAACAAATGCTTGCATACTTGCAATATATATAATACTGTGAGTAAAGTAGAAATACAGACTGATATTTCTCTCTCTTCCCGGTGATTCTTTCTCTGTTTGACATCTAACATTAGCTGGGCTATGTCTGAAACAGCTTTTTGCTTTTTTTTTTTTTTTTTTTTAGCACAGTTTTTTTTACCAAATGTTCTTCAACCAAATTTAATAGAAATGAAAGTGGAGTATGTTGACAATCTTTTATGTATCTTTGTTCGGATAATTTGTATACAGTTATTAATTGTTACATGTATATGATGGTACTGATAATAAATTTAGCTGAAGGTTACTCTTGCTGAATTTGTATTTATTACTGGCCTGAAAACACTTTGCAATATAAATTTATTCTGTGTGGATAATGTCAATGGAATAAATAAATCCTAAACAAAGACAGGGACATCAGACTGACAGACAGACATATGTCAAATTGCTCGAGTAATTTTAAAGCCTTTTGGAAGTTCACCACAAAACCAATGTATAAGCAATGTATTGAGTAGGGCACTAGTGCGTTTTCAGTTAGTTGCAATTCCCAGTTAAAATATTTCAAACAAGGCAACTGTAGAAATACAGCTATAGATAGTATCATGTGGCATATTTTTAGCATCTGATGCAAGTGTTAAAGTTTAACTCTTTAAACTTTAAGCAACTCTTTATGCAAGTCCTAGAATTAATGTTAAACACTGGCATTTGATGAGGGAAAGGTACCTGTCTGTTTCCTTGATGAACTGGTGGTATTGGACGATGTCGTGTGCAATCCTCCAGTGATAAAATTTAAACAGCATTTTACTCTCTTAAATACAAAAGTTACCACAGAAAGAAAAAAGAAATTCCTGGAATTTCTGTTAAATACTCTAGGACACAGCTATTAATTTTTTTCTGTGTTATCTTTTTCCTTCTTGAAAGTAGGGATTTTATGAACTCAGGGTAGAGCAGGTCTCTCTTTTTGTAAGGAGTATTTATTCAGCATACTTCTATATTGCAGCTGCTGATCATATTTCATAGAGCTGTTAAAGCACTTAAAACCTAAAATTAGGTACTGTCTGGTAGTAAATATTTCAAATCACTTCTTGAAGAAATGGGCTTAAAAAAGAGACATTTTGAAATATATCGTTGAGAAAAAGTAATCTTGCATTGCTTTTACTCAGTGCAATACCAATCTAAATCACTGATTTCAACACAGTGTACATTTTCGTTAGGTTTTCTTAATCTCCTGGATTTTTATTGTGATTTTATGCTGGCTTTATTTGATATCATAACCAGCTACTTTGCTCAAGATATGTTTATGATGGCAACGCTTGAATTAACAGGTGTCGAATTAACTTCTAACATACCTGTACTTCCAATGAGTATTCTTGTGATCCTAAGAACTGTAATGTAAGTTTCCTTGCTTCCTGGTGTGCATGTTTCTGGCTGTTAGTTGCAGAAGGTGTACATTTGCTTTTTTCAAAATTTTGAACGAGTTAATTTACAGATTAGTATTTTCCAACTTGGGGGTGGGGTTAGGTTTGTTTTTTAGCTGAGCAGAGGAATAGGTTTATTTGCTCACTGGTTTTCATTTTTGGTACTGTCAAGGTTTGCAGGAAAAAGACAGGGACATCATCCTGACAGACAGACATATGTCAAGTTGGTCAAGTATTTTTAAAGATTTTTGGAAGTTCACCACAAAACCAAGTCTGGTAGCAGCAACACTCAGATCTCTTTGCTTTTTCCTTTGTGCTTGAGAATCCAGTAGTATTTCTGCTATCTAATATATCTGTAATCTTCTTGACATTTTGTGTTAAAAAATCCCGGCGTTTATGGTATGCAACTGGAAGAAGAGTGTTGATATTCAGTCATTGATCTAGAGGTTTGTAAATACGCCTAATAAGTGCTATTTTTCTTTTTTGAATTTAAATATTTTGTAAATGTGTGTCCAACTTAACCTTTTTCTGTCATTGAAAAGCGCTAATTGATCTTGCTGACCCTGACATAATAGTATAGTTTGATATTTGAAACCTTTCAGCTTTGGCATGGCCTTTTTATCACCCCTGAGATTTCAGGGCATGGTTCTACTGAAGGTAGAAACTGCTTCTCTTTGGAAAATTAAATAAAAATGGTTATTAAAAATAAATTATGCTTTTTTAAAGTCAGTAGATGTTTTACCTATCAAAGCCTCAGGCTTGACAATATACATTAAAAACTTTCTGATTTACTTGTATGTATTAGGTGACATTTTAGACATTGCTATACAGAAATCAGATTTTTATGGAATAATTTTTGGCCAATTCCACTCTTCTGTGCTGCAGTGTTATTGAATCTGTCATTAAATCAGAAGTGGTTAAAGGAACTTGGACGTACTTTGCAATGCAAAAGCTCAGATAAGAAGAGTGCTCCTATGTCAAATAAATAATAAAATCTATTTGAAAAGGCAATAAAATTCACATTTTTAGTCTGCATTGTAGTTTGCAATGTTACCAGAAGGATTGCTTTTGGGATGTCTGTAATTTAGGACCTAAACGGCAAAAGCTATTTTAAAGAATTTTCTTATTTGTATCTCTAAGCCTGAAAAATGCATCAAATAGCTGACTGTCTTTTTGTTTTAACGTTAAACAGTGAAAACTACTTTGATGATTGATTATCCTATATTGAAATGTATCACTGGGCAGTCTCAGTCACAGGATTGTATAGGCTAGTCATTAGGCATTTGAGCAAAATGTCAAATGCTAATGGCTGTCTGTGGAATACTAAAGATTAGGCATTTTATTTTCAATTTGTTAAAAACTTCCTTATTTCTCCAAGGGAA